TGTGCCTACCTACCTGCATGTACTCATGGAACTCAGAGGTTGACATTGTATGTCTTCAACTGTTTCCACCTTATATTTAAGAGATAGCTTCTGTCACTGAATTTGGAGCTTGCCAATTCTGCTGGGATGGCTGTCCAGAAAGTCCCAGGGATATTTCTGTCTCTACCTCTTCAATGTTGGGCTTACAATTTTCACATGGGTACCAGGGGTCTGAACTCAGGTCTTCATGATGACATGGCAAGTTCTTTATGAACTGAGCTGTCTCTCCAACCCCACACATGCACACACAAGTGTGTGAGTGTGGACATCTGTGTGTGTGTGTGTGTGTGTGTGTTGAAATAAAATTTCAACCTAAAACCAAATTTTAAAAAATAAAAGAAGAGCTGGATGGTGGTGGCACACACCTTTGATCCGTGTACTTGGGAATTGGAGACAGACAGACAGTGAGACCAGCCTGCCTGGTCTACAGCGCAAGTTCCTGGACAGACTCCAAAACTACAGAGAAACCCTGTCTTGAAAAACCAACAACAACAAAATGACAGAAGAAGCTGTTGAATTAATAGTTACATCATCATAAGGTCTGTGCCCTATAAGGGATGAGGATGAAAATATGGAAAAAACTTCAAGCATTTACAAAAAAGCATAGTTCAATATTTAGAAAGTTAAGGGTAATGTTCAATATGTAAAATACAATATAGAGCTTCTAAACTGTTGGGGATTGGAAAGGAAAAATGAAAGAAATAACAGGGTCACAAATAAAGGCAAACAGAAAATACAAACAAGACATCAGTATTGATAATATCCTATCAGTAAACAATATAAATTCACCACAAGAAGGTGTGTAAATTGATGTTTGAACAAGTTTTCAATAGTAAACAATAGAATATGTTATGTGACTGAGTTGGTATAACCATTTACTGCAGAAGTACAAGGGGCAAGGTGTGTACTTTTACAATGAAATTTATCTCGTTTCTCATGTGTTTAGGCATGGAGGGCAAGGAGAGGGGAAGCCGAAATGGACGAAACCAATACCTTTAGGTTCATATTGGTAATTTTCCATTTGCTGCCATTTCTCAGACTTCTTTGATTTTCTTACAGCTTAGGGGATTCCACAATTCTCTATGTGCTTATCTGGTATTTGTGCTGATTTTCCACTTTCTTCTGATTTTTAATTTCAAATTCTCTAGCAGGTGGGAAAGTGACTGCTTTTAACCTTTAGAGATCCCTTCCATTCCAGGGATGGCTGTCTCTTCTCAGTCCTTAAATCTGCAACTCCACAGTCTCACTTTTAGCACGGCCCAGAGGTGCCAACTCAGTCATAAACCCAGAATTATTCAAGCATGGGCTTTCACTTAATTGCAAATCATAATTGAGTTTGGACAGCCACTGACTTTCCAAGGTACTGGATGAATTACTCAGTGATTATTGCTTTTTTTTTTTTAAAAAAAAAAAAGGAAGTCAGTTATCTACCTGTTTAATATGCCTGATGCTATAACTGATTAATGACCCCCTAGTCCCCACTCAGGTTTCACATTTACTACAGTCTATTTTCAATTTCTTCCCTATATATTCACAGAATATTAAAATTGGTTAAAAAAAAGAATTGTTCAAGGACTTCACTTAACAAGTGTAAATCATTAAAAGCCATTCAATCACTAAATGGTAGGAATAGGACTAAAGTTTTCCCTGTCTCCCACTGTCTGTCTCTCTTTCTCTCCACCCCCCCACCCTCTTTGATTTTGATAAGATAAAAGTCTCACTATATAGCCTAGGACTCAGGATTCTGCTGTCTTTGCCTCCTGTCATGCTGGGATTACAGGGGTGATGCTTAACATCCCTCTCATTTGTGCTTCGAAGGCTGGAACTTTGGAGTAGGATGTGTTGTGGAATATGGTGGGAAGTGAATTAAACTAACAGATTCATCTTTCTCACTCTCGGTTGGAAATGCAGGTGAATATTGAATGTTCTGGAATTTTGTTATCATGTTTCCTGAAGAAACCCATTAACGGTTCAATACTGTATCTCTGTTGTTAACAGCCTACTGTGTTCTCGTTGGAACTTAGATTATCCTGCTATCCAAATCAAGTGCAAATAGGACATGGAAATGCCTTGTGTTGTAAGCACACATAAAGGCCCGGTCAGAACAGGGCCCAGGAACTCAGTGACTGGGACTTCATACACAAGGAATGGAATCTGAGAACAAGGACCATCCACAAGGAGAGAGAGGTTATGCACATACAACTTGTGTGTAGCAACCTTAAGGACTTGCCTTAAAAATAAGCAAAATAGAGGTAGCCTGTTGTGAATAACCCAACCCTGTAACAAAACATCTTTGTCTTACCGACTTCAAGGCTGCCGCCATGTGAGCGGCTCAACCTTCAGCTCTGCAACGTCACCCAGGGTGTTTCGCTCATGAGCAATGGAACTTAAAAAAACAAGTGCACAAAAGTTAATAGCAACTAGGCCGACCTTTGCCTATGCTGTCCTAACAAAATATTTGAGACTGGGTGATGCAAAAACAACAACAAATATTTTCACAGTTCTGGAAGCTAGGAGGTTCTGAAGGCTCCAGCAGGTACAATATATAGTGAGAGCCCATCCCTGTTCCAAGCCGGTGCTTCACTGTTGCAGAGTGGATGAATGCTACATCCCCCTCAAGGAAAAGGCCCGAGTATAGTCTTTCGGAAGGACCTTCATCTCATTCACAAAGGAGGAGCCACTGCGACCTAAGGAGCTCCTAAGGCCCTACCACTGCATACTGTCAAACTGATGACTAAGTTTCTGCCTGAGTTTGGAGGAACACATTCAGTTCATAGCTCAATTTCATTCATAATCACTAAGACTCAAACACAATTCAAATGTGTTTCATATCTTGAATGGACAAATGCGTAGGTGTTTTCCTGTCCAAGAATCCTCTTCCAAATAACTGACACAGAGGCTTAATATTACTTATAAATGCTCAGTTGATAGCTCAGGTTTGTTATCAGCTAACTCTTATACTTAAGTTAACCAATATTTCTTATCTATGCTTCAGCATGCGGCTCATGGCTTGCTACCTCATTTTCTAAATGTCCTACTTGCTCAGTGGCTGGCTGGCATCTCTTCTGACTCTGCCCTTCCTCCTTCCAGAGTCCTCTGTGTCTGGCTGTCCCGCCTACACTTCCTGTCTGGCTGCCAGCCTGTTAGTTTTTTTTTATTAACCAGTGAGAGTAATACATATTCACAGTGTGCAGAAAGATCATTCCACAGCACAAGTGCATTGTAATACAGCCATGTTGTGGGACATTATCCAGCCATCAAAGGAATAAACTTCATCCAGGTCAGATGTGGATGAACTACCACCCTTTGTGCTTACTCGGGGCTCAGTAAACTATTTGTCTTGCAAGTCGAATCCCGCCACACCTATGTACAGATTGCTGGTGACTGCTTTCCTGCTATGCTGACAGAGTTGAATAGAGGCAAAAGCAAGCACATATCTTTCAACGCCGACAATATCTACTACTTGCCCAGTCACAGAAGTTTGCTAATCCTTGTGCTTTAAAGACGGGGTCAGGTGCCAAAAGTCACATGCTGTACGGTTCCCTTTATAGAACATTCTAGAAAAGGCAAAACTATTGGGATGGAAAATTCACTGCTCCCGGGAGTGCTGGATGAATGCAGAGGATGGCTGAAAAGGGTACAGACCCAGTGTTTGTCTCTCCCCTGGGGCTTTTGTACATTTCTATGAGCTTGCCGAAGCTAATACAACTGATACGACTGAAAAAAATTACAAAGCCCTGAGAGCTTAAAAATAATGTTCACAGCTTCAAGCTGTACAAAGTATAACGGGAGATTTGTAATGGAAGAAAAGGTAACTCACTGCACAGATCGGGAGCAATCTCATTCCAGCTGACAATTCCAACAGGACCAGGGGATCTAGAGATCACTGTGCTTTAGTTCTTTTTCTGTTGCTTTCAAGTCTGTCAGGCTTGGTCACCTCCTCCCAACTGATCTCCATACAGTGTGAGCCTGTCCTCTGTAGTCCCAATTTAGAGGCCTGGCTGGGAAGAGAGAATCTATTCAACTGAGTGTTCATTTACCATCCCCAGGGAAGGCTGTGATCACCTGGTCCAGCCATACATGCTCTCTCTAATCCAGCAGTTCTCAACCTGTGAGGCTCATCCCGTTGGGGTCAAATGATCCTTTCACAGAGGTCCCTCAAGACAGTCAGAAAACATAGATATTTACAACATGTTTCATAACAGTCACAAAATTACAGTTATGAAGTAGCAATGAAAGTTGTGGGGTCACCACAACATGAGGGTATTAAAGGGTTGCAGTGTTAGGAAGGTTGAGAACCGCTGCCTTAATCAGTCACTAATTCACCAAAGAACGAAGCACTGAGATCCTCTCGTCCCACATTGTGACCCAAGACCAGCACCTATTTTGAAAAAAACTGGAACGCTTAGGTGGACAAAACCCAGTAGTGGCTTAGACAACTCTCCTAGTCACACAATAATGAAAACTAATGCAAGTGTCAGTAATAACATTATTAATTAATTATTAGCATGTATAGTTTCTTTGTACTGGGGCAAGCATTAATTTGAAAGGCAGTTTGAAGGTATTAAAAACAGATTTTGAAGCATTCCATCCAAGGGGTCTGTGATGTACAGATCAGGGAGCCACCCTTAATTAGGTGTCGGAGTTCTTAGTTCAGCTTCCAGTGCTTTGCACTGAAAAACTGGAGCTCAGGGAAGGAGCTCAGGGAAGCTGGCCTGTGCTGTAGGTAGAGCCCAAGTTAAAGGACCTTGTTATGTGAAACAGGACGGCTGCACCCCTCTTCCAGTTAACCCTTTCCCTTTACATATCCTGAGGTCCCCCCACTGCATCAACTCTAGATAACCTTTTGTTAAAGGATGCAGAATTTCTTAAGATTCTCTGAGGAGGCCTCAGTCATCATGATTGGATTCTGCTCACTAATTTTCCCGTCTCTGTGTCAGCAAATGAGAACCGACACTCCCTTTAAATGGAAAGAAGACATACGCAACCTTTATTTTTTTTTCTTTTCATGCAGTGTGTGTTATAAAGAAACCCTCAAACAAAGCCTAAGCCTCCTCCCAAATCAAAAGCCACGGGAGTTTCATGGTGTCTCGCTCTCCCTTTCTTCACTTATTGCAGGGGCTCCACCGGATGGGTCAGCTTACACAGAGCACACCAGCGACTCCCTGATCTCATGTGTCCAAATTGCCAGCAGTAACAGAAGGAAAAGGGAAAAATGAGAGCAGGCTTCCATTTGCTCAGGCTTCCGGGTCATCAGCACAGGAACATAGACGGCACAGCTCATTTGCAGGGCTGCCTCAATGACTTCTCCCTGGGAGGGGGGTCACACAAAGTCAGCCTCAAACTCTCTACCTAGGGAAGCAAAGGCAGATGGAGAAATTGGAATATGACTTGCATAATAGCAATTTACCATTCAGAAGGGGTTTAGGATGCGGAGTCTTAAGTTTGCAAACCTGGTTTAGTAAGTACACAGCTTCAAAGCAGCGCTGTTCATATAAGCACCATTCCATCCTTCAGATGAAGGCAAAAATACACCCAGGGCATTACTGACAAGTTGCTCTGATACCACATTAGCTGGGAAATAAACAGTCAACTCACCTTGTCTTGCACATTGTTCATTAAGGTTATACCATCACCTATTTTTTCAGGTCCTCACCATTCTATGGTAAGACTTTAAATCGAATCAAAGGTTGCATGATGCTTAAAGGCAAGTCTTTTTGAAAATTGCTGTTAGAAGCTTGGAAAGATTGCTCTGTCAGTCAAGTGCTTACATTGCAAACATGAAGACTTAAGTTTGGATTCCCAGCACCCATTTAAGAAGCTGGGCATGCGATGCACACTGGAATCTCAATCCTGGGAAGACAGATCAAAATTCTGTCCTGTTCACTAGGATCTGAGATATAAGGTGCTAAGTACAAAGAATGACTAGAGGTGTGTCTAAGACAGCGGTTCTTAACCTTCCTAATGTGGTGGTGACCCCCAACTATAAAATTATTTTTGTTGCTATTTCATAAATGTAATTTTGCTGCCATTATGAATCTTAGGCAACCCCCATGATAAGGTCATTCAGCTCCCAGGGGTCACAACCCACAGGTTGAGAACCACTGGTGTAAGAGTTTGCCAGTTTGCCCTGCAGGCATCCTGGTTGACATAGGATGTTTGGGAAGGATGATGGATGAGAAGAAAGATCAAGTTTAAGAGGAGAGACACTGAGGAGAGGGTTGCCCCCAAATCAGTACCCCTTCCTATAGACTGACCTAGGTAATGTGGAAGGCAATTCATTATTGTTTCCTACCCTTCCTCTGTATTCAACACAACTATTTCTGTGCTCCTTCTAAGTCAGATTTTTCTATTGCAGTATGCAGATTTTAAAGTTACTTATGCTTAAAAATTAGATGTCCTAGTTTTCTCATTTAAGACCACTAATGAATTACTATCACATAATCCACAGTGCATTACACTGCATGGCTTTGTTCCAGGAGAAAAGGCCAAAAGGTGGGGGTGGGGGTAGGGGAGGGACTGACATAGTCCCTGCCATCTAGGTATGAGGAGATATCTGTCGCCAGAAGCAAACTCTTGTGAGCTGTGTCCAGATGGCTTTGTGTTTAAAAAAGCACCACCACTGTCATGTCCAGAAAGAAGTAACAATGATGGACAGAAACGGCATCAAAACAGTGGAAAATGTATGCAAATGTGATCTTGTCAACAAAAAAATTAAAAATGAACAAAGTGTTTCGGAAAAAGAAAAATGTTCTGTATTATGAAATTTTAATGAGCACTTTGCATCTTGAAAACGGGAAAATGATGCCTTTAGATCAGTCTGTTACACTAATGAGTAACAGCAGAGTGATGAGTGTATCACAGCCTCCATCTTCAGACTCCAGTTTTGTCATAATGGATCTTCATACATTTCCAGTGGTTGAGTAGGCAGGGTTGTCAATCCATGTTCACTCATGGTTGACGTAGAAACGCTTTTTACTACGTTTGATTTCAGAAGCCTTGTTTGGAGGACACGAATCAGCAAATAAAATGTTTGGATTTTAGTTTCCCTAATGGTATGTGACACAACTAATGCTCAGAATTTCTGTGCCTTGATATTTATGAAATATTTTTAAGGCTTACCTCACTGTTAACCATTCGATCCTGATTTTGACTGCTCACAAATATTTGGGGACCATGATAGCCTCAGTTAAAACTTCCTATCAGAAAAAAAATGATAAATTAGAAAAGAAAAATGTCATCCAAAGACAGAGAGGAACTTTCTCGTGATTCTCTTGGGTTCACGTTGTTGTTTTGATTTACAGCACTTTGCAGTTAACTTTTTAAACTTCTCTGGATTGCACAGTTCCACAGTGAGCCGGCCATCTAGCCTGAGACAAGCTTGTTACCATTACAAGCATGTTCTGCATGGGTTTTTTTCTGCTAATGAAGTGAGAATTAGGTGAATGGAAACTTTCCCCAAGTTTCTAAAAGAGCCAAACAAAAAGCGGCCCTTTGAAAAGGGCTGAAGTGCAGACAGGCAAAAGAGGGACAAGTGAGGTATGGTGAGGACTGCCAGCCCTTTGACGTTGCCTGACACAAATGCGTCCATCGCGGCTTTGTTGTAGGTTTGAGCACTACAGACGATTGGGCCTGTCCATCGTCACTTGGCTGTTTCAGCGACTGTCCTATGACAGTCTTCCAGAAATCCTGAAGGCACTCAAAACTGAGTCCTTTGTTTCAACATTATTGACCTTACCTGGGCACGTCTGCCCACTTACGTTGGTGTGTAAGCCATGGAGAGTGCCGACCAAACAAATTCTTAAGTACTGTGTTTTGTTTTGGTATTTGTTTTTACAAGTGCCTGACACAGTACCACTGATTTCGCGTTCATTTTACTTGAATTATCCTTTAGTTTGCAATTTTTAAAAATTAGTTGGACTCACTTCTGAAAATTAATTACTCCATTCAGTAAAACCTTACAACTCAAGCTTGCACAGGCCAGTTGAAAGTCCCAGGTCTGACATTTTTTCACTGTTTCACTCTCTTATAGTTTAAAGACAGGCTCTCCCAGTGGTCAAACAGAACAACAGAATTGAAGATTTCTCGCTTTCCTTTTCTCTACAATCCTGTTTAAAAGAGAGACCATGGAGTACTTCAGTGGTTAGGTCCAAGCCAAATCTTTTTTTTTTTAATAGAATGTTTATTTTGGCTTGCTGTTCCAGAGGGAGAGTTCATAGTGGTGGGGTGTCAGGACACAGTCCTGGAATGGAGTCATATAAGGAGAATTCTGAGTGCTTGTTAGAATACTCCAAAGAAAACAAGAGTCTGGTGACCTCAGTCTCTTAAAAAACAGGGAACTGTTTTGGGGAGCGTGGATTTTTTTGTTTTTGTTTTTGTTTTTGTTTTTTGGCTCCTTCCAGGTGTAGCAGATAGGAGTGAGTTTACTTCAGCCTACTCATTACTGCTTGCTGTTGTTGTTCAATTAAATGTTTCTGCCTCTGTGGTAAACGTGTTCTTGTCACATGTAGCTTGGCCTTGAGGTTGTGTGCAGCCTGAACTCATGGGAAATTCACTCATGTGACTGTTCTTAACCCTCAGACTATAAATTGTCCAGGGCTATCGATAAACTTGGCAATCACATGAGACTTTAGTCTGCCTCAGTTATCTGTTTTGTTCTCCTGGGTCCTGCTGCCTTTAGAGTAGCGTCAGTGGGGGCCAGGCTCTTTGTGAACTTATCTCTCATATAGAATATAGCTTAAACTAGGTGTAGTCATACATACCTATAACCATAGCACTCACCAAATGAAGGCAGAAAAATAAAGAATTCAGTATCAACCTGGCCTACATGAGACCCTGACTCAAAAACACAACAAAACAACAATAAACATTAATGATATCAACAATGACAAAAGAACAAAACAGAAAGGTACTGTGAATCTTTGTATGATGGGGGCTAACTAATTAATGGGAATTATGTAAGTTAACTCTTATGAAGAATGAGTAGTAATAAAAGTTGGAAAACTAATGCACACACAAACAGTACACAATAGTTCTTTAGATGATAGACCATGGAAAGGTATTTGTAGAAAGAAAAGTTTTTGCTACATAGTGATAATAAAATGGAAAAGTAGACTGATTCATGTTTGCTTTTATGACTGTTTTTTAATTTTCTGCAGACTCTTCATCGCCTGCCTTCATGTGAGACCCTATCATCACCCTCTCTTTGGGTCACTAATTGGTGCCCCACTGATCCGGACTAATTCTCTAGCCAAGAGAATTAGCAAGGTCTGTGGGCTTTTGTATAGAGGGCACTGTTTTCCTATTTCATGATGATTTGCTTTGCCACTGAGCTTGATGGCATACCTGTGTGTGAACAGAGTTGGCATGGTTCCACATTCTGGCCAAAGTTACAAGTGTGCCTATAACTGAAGTCCTGCCTAGAGTGTCTCAGAGAATTCTCTAGAATGAGTTCAAATAAAAGCCACTTGCCTAGAACTTGTTGCCAGGACTTTCCATGCACCGATGCCATCAGCCTCAGGTGTCTGATGCCAGGATCCTGTCAGGCAGAAACAAGGCCAGCCGCATGTCCTTTTAACAGTCACAACTGACATTCAGATTCAAAAACAATGTTGAGTGAAGAAAACATACTTCCTGGTTGACAGGAAAGCTAGAAAGCAAGACAAACACGGGTCATAGCATTCATGCAAATTTAAAGTGGCAGGAAAACAATAATATTCTAGTCATGTTCCTCGAGAATGTATTAGGAATTATAAAAATAGATACACCAACCTCGTGACTCTCAAGAGGAAATTAGGATAGGAGATGGAGAAGAGGACTTCAAATTTATCCTGCCCCCCTCTCTCTCTCTCACACACACACACACACACACACACACACACACACACACACACACACGGACAGCAAAGTATACACATTTAAAACAAAGTGGAATAGCAAACAAAATCAAACATGCTCTTAGATGCATAAACCTCCCCATCTTTGGACACAGTATCAGGATTCTGGCTGGTCCGAGTGTTCCCCTGCAGTGAGCTTCATTTGCAGACCTCCGTCTGCCTTCCTCCATCATAGAAACTGCAGCCTGTTTCTCTTAATTTTGCTTTGTTTCCAGCTGAGCCCTTGGGAGTCTTCATGTCCTGTCATGTGGTTATGCTCAGTAACTCTAATAGCCAGGATGGAAGCTGCATCTGCCTGCAAAGGAGAGAAGAAAAAACATCGACATGCTAATGCCCTCTTTGGGGAGGGCGTGGGCACACTGGAGTTCTTGCTCTGTGCATGAAAGTGGTTTGTTTCAAAAAAATTCGCATGTGACTTAATTAACAGCCTGCTGCCTGTGCATCACGTTTCACTTAAAGGATTTGCATGCTGTAGTCACCTGGTAACTGAAGAACTAGCTTTAAGCGGAGTGTTGATAAAATATAGAAAAAGTATAAGACATGGTCTTGAAGTCTATAGCAAACGGATTGCTACCTGAAAAACCCCGGCTATGCATACTGTTTGCACGTAAATAACCACCTGCTTGCAGGACTGTGTACATCTGAGTATGTTTTTAAATGGCTCCATTTTCCCAGAGAAGCCAGGGCAATTGTTGTTTTCCTGAGCAGGACTGATTCTCCACAGCTGGAGTGGTGCGCACAGCTCCCAGATAATTTGTAATGAACCGAATTTTCCTTCAGCATGCCTAATTAGTAACTCCTCCTTTTGCTATCTAAAAGGATATAGACATTTTAAAAACAGATGTATGAAAACTCTGCTAAGATACCAGGAAGGCACTAAGTCTTCATTGTCTCTTACGTATATATCAAAAAATACCTCAATGCGGTTTCCCCTACCTTACTTAAATGTTCATGGCAGCAGCAATGGCAACAGTAGTCACTGGTTGGAAATCAGAGGAAGTCTAGCAGCCGACAAAAGGATAAAGAAAATACAGTACATACATACAGTGAAATTCAGTCACAAAAGGAACGAGTGCGGATTCTTACTCTAGAATTTAAGAATCTAGAAACCAGTGTGTCTGCTCTAGATGAGAATTCTTACCTCAAAATTCCAAGAACCTGTAGGAAGGGGAAATATCCTTTTTTCCAACCCCACTACTAGGTTCATGGTTGAGGCATTCGAAACAGAAGACAGATTGACCAAAGAAAAGCCCGCATATTTACTTACATTTTTTACATCGAAAGGAGCTTTCCTAGGGAAATGAAAGCCTTAAACTCGTGCATTTATGTGGGGCGTGGGGGTGTTTGCATGTTGGGGAACATGCAAGAGGAGATCAGGGACAGCCTTAAGTGTGTAGTTCCTCATAAGCCACACAACTTGATTTTATGAAACAGAATCTCTCACAGGCCAGGAGCTTGTCAATTGGGCCAGCCGGCTGACCCAGGAGTCTGCCTACCCCTGCCTTCCCAGAGCTGGGATGGCTGCAAACACACCCTTTCATGCCCAGCTTTTTAATGTGGACTCTGGGATTTGAGCTCAGGTCTTTGTGTTTGCATGACAAGGACTTTACAAGTTAAGCTATCTCCCCGGTTCAAATTTGTATAATTTTGTTCCACAGTTCCATTGAGAGAGGAGAGGCATGGAGACGTGGAGAAGGCTAGGCTTTAATGGTTGCATGTGAAGAGGATGACAAACAGGTCCTGTGTGTTCAGACTCTTGGAATCCGGGTCTTCACAGATGGTATTTTCCTCTGCATATAGGGCACATGTCTTCCCATATAGGGCGGAACAGAGAGGGAGTGAGAGGGTTCCCAGTGAGCTTTCAGTGCCTGTTTTTTTTTTCCTAAGTCAATCTACTATGTGATGAATACAGAGCTGGTACCTCTATATGAGAGTTGTGTGACTCGCTTGGAGCAAATAGGGAGAGAGCAGGAGTGACCCCCTTAGCATCTGCTGCTACCTGAGATGCCAAGCTACTGTATTGTGGGTAGTGACTTCTAACTGCATCCAACTCTAAAAACCAAAGGAGAAAGGCCAAATTGACGAGTAAGGAGGTAAACAGTTCTAACCTGAGGAAGGGTCTCTCAGAGGGTTGGTGTAGGCATGGGATGGTGGGGGGATGGAGGAGCAAGTGGAGGTGAATCGTAGAATACAGGTGAGGAGAATTTGCAGAAGCACACCTGTAACAACTTCTACCCAGAACAGTTTTGGGTGAGTAGGGAAGATGGTGGGTCAGGCCTGGACGATGCACTTCTGTTCCTCTTACT